CTCTCTCCTATATGGGGCAGTGAAATTCACTTACACTGTTACATAGTGATAGGCAACCAGGATTACTGATATCATGCAGTGTGCGGAAGTGACAGGGTATCAAGAATGTATCTCAGTGTACTGTCAGGTAACCACAACACTTTGGTGGTAAGTGTACTAAGACGACAGGTGATGAGGATACGTTGTTGTGTTGCAGTGTGCAGGAGCGAGTGTGTTGGAGGATGCGTTGGGGACCAGTGTTGTCACGAGCAGTGTGTTGGGGGCTGTCGCTCGCCTGGGGACCCACAAGCCTGCCACGCCTGCAGAAACCTTCTGGACCAGCAACGCTGCACCCACTCCTGCTCCAGCCACAAGTTCAAGGTCAGTGCCTCATAAGTGCAATTTTTAGGTTCAGTCTTGTATTTTGTGAGCGTTCCTGAAGGATCAAACTCTTCCAAGTTGTAAGTCTAGAGGTTATGGTAATGTACTCACCTAGTTGTACTCACCTAGTTGTGCTTGCGGGGATTGAGATTTGGCTCTTTGGTCCCGTCTCTCAACCATCAGTCTACTGGTGTACAGATTCCTGAGCTTCTCGAGCTCGCTGTTTGGTCACTGTGCAACCCGTTCTCGCAAATTCGTAAAGTCAATATTGACTTATTAAATATGTGCATAGGTGATATACTAAACATAATAGATACCCTTAAAAAGGTTCATAGAAAACACCGACCTTACCTAACCTTGTTAGTATCTTAAGATAAGCATCTTATTGCTTCGTAATTACAATTATTACTTAACCTATACCTATTATAGGTTAGGTAATAATTGTAATTACGAAGCTATAAGATGCTTATCTTAAGATACTAACAAGGTTAGGGAAGGTCGGTGTTTTCTATGAATCTTTTTAAGGGTATCTATTATGTTAAGTATGTCACCTATGCACATATTTAATAAGTCAATATTGACTTATTAAATATGTGCATAGGTGACATACTTAACATAATAGATACCCTTAAAAAGATTCATAGAAAACACCGACCTTCCCTAACCTTGTTAGTATCTTAAGATAAGCATCTTATAGCTTCGTAATTACAATTATTACCTAACCTATAATAGGTATAGGTTAAGTAATAATTGTAATTACGAAGCAATAAGATGCTTATCTTAAGATACTAACAAGGTTAGGTAAGGTCGGTGTTTTCTATGAACCTTTTTAAGGGTATCTATTATGTTTAGTATATCACCTATGCACATATTTAATAAGTCAATATTGACTTTACGAATTTGCGAGAACGGGTTGTGCACTGTGCGAGACTATGTATTATCTGCATTAATCTGTGAATGGCAGCGATTTTTACGATATATCACAGGGAGAGCATCAGCAAATGTCGAGCAGTTGCACAATCAACCCTTCACCCCCTCCCCCCACCCCTCGACCAACAGGTGACCTTTTAAACAGTAACACTAAATGTCAAGCAGGAGCTCTGCTTATCGTTAAGAGTTATTGCTAAGACGTGTAAAAGATGACTCGCCAATAGGAAGTGATTATATGTGTGAAGTAAGCGATAATATCTAGTGGTCGTCACTCGCCCAAGACAAAGCATACCGGTGCCAACCTCTACGTGCATGAACAAGTTTGGCGTCCCATACCCCAGACCATTCGCCCAACTTTGCAGGAGGAATGGTCTGGGGCACTGAACAGACATAGACTGGTCGGGATTGCCAGAATTTCATTGAGAGCAGAGTTTCATGGTCACTTTCTAACCCCCCTTCAACAAGCTTTGGCCCGCCAGGTGCACTTAGCTAATTATTTTGAAAAAAAATACAAACATAAGATGTTCTTATAATAAGATACTTTATTATTCACTGATCTCGGGAAAAATGAATTCAGCCGTAGTAGCAAAGAAACAACAACAATTCTGCAATAGCTTCAAAGGCTTCTTCAAGCCCCATTCCTTTCTCAGAGCAAACGGTAACGATCATGTTTTTCTTAATATTTCATACCCCAAGGCTCCAGGACCACTCACACGCTAATGGTAGATTATTAGGGTTTAAAGGAAAATAATGAGAATGAGATACAGACATACAGAGACAGGTTGATACAGAAACAGAGATAGGGCAAAGATAGACAGGAAGACAGGAAACACAGAGACAAATACACAGATAGCGAGACAAAAATAGGGAAGGAAGGGGAAGCGCGGATGTGAACAGAGGTAATGAGAGAAGGAAGACAAGTGGAGAGGAGGAATAGGGAAGGAGAGGTGAGAGAGGGAGACGAGGGGGAGAAGAGGGGCGAGAGGTGGTGATATTGGGTGAGAGGTGGAGAGGGTGGAAACGGAAGGAGAAAGGTGGAGAGGGGAGCAAAATGGGAAGAGAGATGGGAGAGGGAAATTCGGAAAGGAGGGATAGAGACCCGGACGAAGATGGGAAGACGGAAGAGGGGAAGACTGGGAGAGAGCCGGTGGATGAAGACAGGGGAGAAAGTTGGAGAGTGGGAGGTGGTGAGAAAATAAGAGGTTGAATGAAATAAATGAGGGAGGGGAGGAGACTGGAAGAGAGTGGGGGAGTTGGGAAGGAGGAGAGAGAGGGGGGGGAATTGGGAAGGGGAAGAGAGACCTGGGAGAGGCCGGGTACCCCAGCATGTCTAAACCTATAAGTAAGAATGTCTATCTGTCTGTCCAAGGTTGGAGGCCAGATGCCTGGGTCTAGCTTCACCCAACTATGCAGGGAGTAATGACTAGGGTATGGGACGGACATAGGCTGGTTGAACTCGCCAGAATTCAAGAGAGAACAGCGTGCAACAGTCTCATATTGACCCCCACGACGGATTTTGGCACTGTCTGCTGACTACGATAGGCAAAATATTTAAAACAAGATTCAAAACTATTTTTTCTTATAGTAATATGAAAATTAAGCACCGATCTTGGGAAAATTTACAGAAATGTTCTAATCATACTTTACCCGTAGTAGTATAAAACATAGGATTCTCCTACAGCTTCAAAGGCTTTCTAAAAACCAGTGGGAAACTATTATATTTTAAATTTTTCTGAGAACGACTCCCCCTCTCTCTTATATTTTATATTTTTCCTCTCGGCGTCATCATGAATATTCGCATCAACCAGGCGAATAAAACCTACAGACCGCCACTATGAAAACAGCCACAACTCTATTGACCAGAGTGATTTTTTTTTATCAAGAGAAAGATGAGAAGAGTGGCTAAAATGTCCAGAATCTACCACCATCTCGGTCAAATGTTAGAGAGGACACAAGCACAGTGGCTTCCCTACCAGAGCCTCAGATAATAATACCAAGTAATGCATCCAGAACTTCCACAAATACGATAACATCCTTTTTATTTGCCAACATCCAGGGTATAAAAACACGCAAATCTAACAAAGTTAATTTTATAGATGGCCACCTACAAGAGGTAAATGCAGTGTTTGCAGCCCTAACAGAAACTCACACCAAGAACTACCATGATGGTGAAATATGGATCTCAGAGTACAATCTTTTCAGATGTGAGAGGAAACACAGGCAACAGGGTGGGGTCAGCCTGTTCATCAAAGACACACTCATCTGTACTGAGCTGCTAAACACCACAAATGATATGGTGGAAGTACTGATAATCAAAATAGAGATCTTAAATGTAGTTATTGTCCTTGTATATAAGTCACCGGAGATATATCTTCAGCAGTTTTAAGACCAACTAATGAAAATTGAACACCTGCTTGGAAAACCTCACAACGCCAGCCCCGAACATCACCCTGCTGGGGACGTTAACAGACGGCACCTGAAATAGAAGCACCTGGCTAATATAGTTATATCACAGAGAATACCAGGAAGTAACCTAAATGAACAGTCACATGCAAATGACCTGTTACGGATGTGCGACAGGTTTGCCTTAAACCAGCAAATAGTAGAACCATCTAGAAAAGAGAATACGTTGGACACCATTTTCGCTAATATCTGTTACTCAGATCACAACCTTTCTGACAAGCTCTGGGGAGCTTGACAAGCTCCCCAGAGCTGAAGTTCTGACAAGCATGGGGAGTAGACCTGCACAACCAGTCCCTAGCTCCAGGGGAGGAGAATTCAGCAAATTAAATTTTAATAATAAACAGATTAACTGGGAGCAAATAGACCAAGACCTCACAGAAATAAGCTGGGAAGAACAACAAGAAAATGCAAACCGGAAACACTGTCTGGTAAACATAAACTCAATAGCTCCAGAAATATGCTTAAACCGCATATCCTTACGAAAAAAAGAGGAAGAAATGCAGATTGGAACGGGAACGGCGTTCCCTCTATAGGCGAAGCAAGCGAATCGCGGAACAACTTGAGAGTCGCACCCTATCTCATGAACGACGAAGAAGGCTAGGTAGAGAAATAGAAACAATTGAACTAGCTACAAGAATCATTCATAACCCAGGAGAGGCAAAGAGAACAAAAGGCCATTAGTGAAATAGGAAGACATCCGAAATATTTTTTTCCTATGCAAAATCAAGATAAAAAATTACATCTAGTATCGGACCTCTGCGAAAGAGAGATGGAACTTTCACAGATGTCAACAACAAAATTAGCGAAATACTGAGGAATCAATACGACCGTTTTCAGCGAGCCACTAAAGATTGATAACCCAAATGAATTTTTCATGAATGTGATGCCAACATCAACACATATATCAGACGTCACCCTATCCCCAGTGGAGTTTGAAGAAGCCATAGACAGTATGCCTATGCACTCTGCACCAGGCCCTGATTCCTGGAACTCCATATTCATCAAGAACTGTAAAAAAACACTGTCACAGGCCCTTCACATTTTTTGCTAGCAAAGTCTAGATACTGGCATTATCCCTGACATACTAAAAACAGCTGAGATAGCACCACTCCATAAAGGGGGAAATAAGGCAGAGGCAAAAAATTACAGACCAATAGCAGTTACATCACACATAAAAATCTTTGAAAGTGCTAAGAAATCAGATCACAAAATACAAGGAATCACAGCATCTCCATAACCCCGGACAACATGGTTTCAGAACAGGGCGCTCTTGCCTGTCACAGTTGCTGGACCACTATGACATGGCATTAGATGACATGGAAGACAAGCAAAACGCTGATGTAATTTACACAGATTTCGCAAAAGCCTTCGACAAATATGACCATGGTGTTATTGCACATAAAATGTGTTCAAAAGGAATTACCGGAAAAATAGGCAGATGGATCTACAATTTCTGACTAACATAACTCAATGTGTAATAGTCAATAAAATAAAATCCGGACCATCAACCGTGAGGAGCTCAGTCCCACAGGGTACTGTTCTTGCTCCAGTACTTTTTCTCATCCTCATATCGAACATAGACAAGGGGCCCAATCTATAGCAATGTA